GATGGATTCCAACGTTACATTGATTCGGTGAAAAGATTCGGTATAGAACCGAGCGTTTTGGGAAGAGGTGAGAAATGGAAAGGCGGCGATATGAGAAGGCCAGGCGGCGGCTGGAAGATCAACCTATTGAAGACTGCTTTAAAACAATACGATGGAGATAATGAGAAAATCGTATTGTTCACTGACGCTTATGATGTGATGTTCCTTGGACAATTGAGCGAAATTGTCCGCAGATTTAAAGCTACAGGGGCAAAGGTACTGTTCAGTGCCGAACCGTATTGTTGGCCAAACGTTGAATTGGCTCCACAGTATCCGGAAGTTGAAAAAGGCCAAAGGTTAGTAAACTCACGTCTTCCAACTGGCTTTAAACATCCAATGCGGTTCACGTTGCAGGTTTCTCAACTCTGGTATTTACATGGGATATATCAAGCAAATCAGAAACTTATTGAATAAGGCTGAAATCGAGAACACAGCAGATGACCAGCTGTACTTCACCGAAGCTTATCTGGATAAAAACTTCCGCGAAGCCAATGGAATACAACTGGATCATTTGAGCAATATTTTCCAGAACATGTTTGGAGTGTCTGAGAGTTTAGTGATAAAAACCGTAGAAAACAAAGATGCAGGAGCTGAAAAGTTCTACCTGAAAAATTCCGAGACCAATACTGAACCTTTGATCATTCACGGCAATGGGCTCTCAAAGCTCAACTTGAATTATCTCAGCAATTATTTGCCGGATGGCGTGTGGAATTCCGTAGATGGTTGCGTGGCTTGCAAGAGCGGTCAGATTAGCCTCGATGCTGTTAAACCAGATCGATGGCCTACGGTTTACCTTTCTGTTTTTGTACAGATGAACACGCCCTTTTTGGAGGCGTTTTTCCAGAAAATCCACAAGCTGGAGTATCCGAAGAATAAAATTCACCTGTTCGTTTACAATACGGTAAGTTTTCAGCTGTATTAATCGCAATGTTTGCCAGCGAATCGGTTTCAGATCAAGTATCACGCAAGTCTTATCAACACTTTCGTCGAGACGCATGGGACGGAATATCTGTCGGTGAAGCAAATCAAGCCAGAAGATGGTACAACTGAATGGGCAGCGAGGGATTTATCTTTGTAAGTTTTTCTTTGATGGAAAAGTGCAAATTGTAATTTTTTCCCAACAGGGATCAATGTTTGGCGAAGAACTGCGATCTGTATTTTGCGGTTGATTCAGTTGCCCACTTGGACAATCCATTTGCGTTGAAACTGCTAATTGAGCAAAACCGAACAGTAGTGGCGCCTATGCTGGTGAGGCCTGGAAAGGCGTGGAGCAACTTTTGGGGCTCTTTGACTAAGGATGGATTCTACGCCAGGTCAAACGACTACATGGACATTGTCCATGACCTCAAAAAGTAAGCAATTTACATAAGTTACTGGTAGTTTATTTCGGGTGCAAACAGCTCCTCAGTTCTCTAGTTACATTACTGTCCATCACAACTCGGTAAGCTCGACTAATCGAACGCAATACTGAAATCCGTCTTAAACGATCTTCGGTCTATTGAATACATGTTGTCGGCTGTACATTCATACAGGCCTGCATCCATCTGGGTAGCAGGATCTATTTCTAGCTTGCTTTTTATTGTGTCGTTCCCAATCTGCCACTCGTGAATCTAGAAATTGTGTGTAAGAAAATCGGTTTTATTAATAGCCGGTTTTCGAACGTACATGCAAATAGAGGTGAGTGAATATCTCACTGCCATCTTTGAACCAGGTTATATGAGGGCGCGGATTTCCTCTTGCCACGCAGATAAAAGCGATTTTGTGTCCTAAAACGTATTCATAATCGAAGTGGGAGGCAAGGGCAATTTTCGCTCCCTGAAAAAGTATTTCCATATCAATTGGAAGAGATTTTTTTGTTGTTGCGGTTACTTACATTGTTATTATTGTAGTACTTGTCTGATTCTGGGTCTCTGTATTTTCCGGTTATCGGCAGCCCAATTTGAAACTAAAACGCGTGATATAATATTATTATTAATAAGCCCTTGCAGTCAAATGTTCTACATTTACCTTAGACTTGGTTCTACTCCTGGTTCTGCCTCTGCGCGACTCAATATCTCCGATAAACCCAATCACAAGCAGCAAAACAATGGACAGTGCTATTCTCATTATGGTCCTTTCTGGCAGAAAAACGCTTTCAACTAACCGCAATATTCGCTTATCAACAATACATTTGACCGAAGCTCCCCCTAAGCCCATTCGCAGATTGAAAATAATTTAAATCAATTTATGTCGCTCCTTGTTGGATGATCTTCTAAACGTTTTGCATTATGTTAAGTAGAGGAAAATTTTTTCATTGCTGTAACAGGATAATTTTTGAACCAGTTTTGCCATTTTAATGCCCTTCAAATCAAATGTAGTCAGTTAAACAACGAATTATTTGTCGGTTGTTAAATTCGCGTTTTGTTACTAACGTGTTTCCAGTTATTATGAGATTTTAGAGGAATTGGAAGACGGCTGCAGTTAGACAAGTTTTATGTTGTTATTATGTTGGAAATCACACACAAACAAATGGTGTTGAGAAAACGGTTTAAATTGGTCCATTTTAAGTGAAATTGATTTCCTAATCGTTCGCCTTTTCGGACTTTTAAACCGGCGTAAAACATAGTTTTATGAAGAAAAGACTCTTCCTGCAAGTATGAGTATTTGGTAAAGGCTTTTAGGCTTAAAAGCCCGAAAAACTCAGCAGTTTAAATAAAGTTCATATGAATCAGTTCTAAAAATCTTGATTTTACGTCTTTATTCTCAAAATATTTGGCGATTGTGGATTGTGATGCTGAATCGTTGCTACTCTTACATTGTAGCGTCACGCGTTTCCAAATTTGTCTAAAATAATGACTTTCTTACTAAATCATCGAGCTTTTCAACGAACTAAACGCTGCAAAAATACAGTTTTCTGCGTTTTGTCCTGCCCTGAAAATTGTTGCTGGTTAGATTATAGCTTTTTGACCAAGGATGGGTTTTACGCAGATCCATGGCCTTAAAAATAGCCACTTGAAACAATTTTGAACGCAATTTATTTTCTGTTAGATGCGCGCTAATGTCTGTAAATTCCACTAATCTGAAGTAATGCTAAAGTCCTTTTTAAACGATCTTCGGTCTATTGAATGCATATTTTCGGCTGTACATTCGTACAGGCCTGCGTCTTTATGTGTTGCAGGATCCACTTCCAGCTTGCTTTTGATTGTATGATTTCCAATCTGCCACTCGTAAATCTAAAAATTAGGTATAAATAATATATTTTTCCTTCTATTAGTCGCGGGCTTTGTAACCTACATGCAAATTGGGGTGAGTGAATATCTCACTATCTTTGAACCAGGTTATATGAGGGCGCGGATTTCCTTTTGCCACGCAGATAAAAGCAATTTTGTGTCCCAAGGGGTATTCGTAGTCAAAGTGGGAGGTAAGGAAAATGCCTGCTCCCTATAATTTCATTTTGTCAGTTGAAATAAGTTTGGTTCGGTAGTTGCTACTTACCTTATAGTTGTTGTAGTTTGATTCTAGGTCTCTTTGCGACTGGAACGCAAAATATTTACATCAATCCTTGGACTGAACAGTTCTACTTTTACCTTAGACTTAGTTCTAATCCCAGGTCTGACTCTGCGCGATTCGGTATCTGCGATAGTCCCTATGATGAGCAGCAAGGCAATGGACCGGGCGATTTTCATTTTCTCGATTCTACTGGAATAAAGCTTTCAACGCACTGCAATATTTGCTTATCAGCAAGCACTGTGACCAAAACTCCCCCTAAGTCCGTCCGCAGATTGAAAATAATTAAATCAATTTAATTCGCTCTCTTTGCATAATCTTCTAAACGCTTTGTATTATGCTAACTCGTACAAACGTTGCCATTTTAATGCTCCTCGCGGGTACTCAGTTCTACGAAGAATAATTTGTTTGTTCGTTCAATTACGGGTTCTTTTGCTAACTTATTGTCCTTTACAATAATTTAAATTAGCTAAAACAAACCTGGTGTTGAAAAACGGTTTTTATGTAATCGGCACTTCATTTAGTTTCGGCTTTTTTAATTTTTTATACAAGTTTTAGGAGCGGAACAAGCAAGGAATGATTAATCAATTGGTTCCTTTCGAAATATGTTAATTATTTATTTCTTACAAAGTCAGATATAAACTTAAATAAAGTTAGTATGTTAACATGGCATAATCGGTTCTAAACGCTCTATAGTCAATGGCATATTTGTTATTTGCTTGGCACTCGTAGAAGCCAGCATCTTTTTGTGTTGCCGGATCGATTTCCATTTTGCTCTTAATTGTATCGTTTCCTTCCGTCCATTCGTGAACCTGCAAAAAATCGGTTTATAAAAACAGCAAGACTCACCTTTTTTTGCCACGTACCTGGAAATATTTGTGATGATACAGTTCAATCCCATCTTTGAACCATGTTATTTCTGGTCTGGGCATTCCTGAAATTGCATTTAGGATTTTCTGCAAATTCATATTGTTACGCAAATGGAAAGATTACCTTGCGCCATACAGAAGAACGTAATTTTCCTCCCCAACATGTACTCGAAGTCAAAGTGACTGGATTTGACAATTTTTGCGCCCTAAAATCAAACAGATTTCACTGCATTAGTCTTTTGAGTTTAGTAGGTTTTACGTCTTTATTCTCGTAATATGTGGCGGATTGTGGACTGCGGTGCTGGATCGTTACTGGTACTCTTGCACTGTAGAGTCGTCCTTTTCCAAATTTGTCTAAAATATTGCTTTTTCTTACCAAATAGTCGGGTATGAATGTTTTGAATGAAGCACACTTTTGTATGGAAATGCACGTATTGATTAAAAATAAATAATATTTACGTTTTACCTCCCGCCCGTCCGCCCCCGCCAATTTTAGCCGGCAACGACCAACAGTTGGGAAGCACAGTAAAACCGACAAAGACCAGAATGAAAATCCACCCTTTGCCAAGCATTCTGCAGTGTTGTTTGCCACTAAATAACTTTGTGATAGGAACAATATTATTATGGGGCCAGCAACATTCGTACAAACACTTTAATATTAAATAAATTACTGGTTACTCGATTACGGGTCCTTGCACGTCTTAAACAATGTAGATGTTTATTATTTTATTATTGACGCTTGTTAGTTTATAAAAAGGAAGTTGTTTTTTACGTTTGGAAGCTGCATTGTTTCGCTAAACGACGGCTTTCTTACAAAATCTACAAAAGTTAGGGAGATAACTCGCTTTTTTGAAAAGAGCTCACAAGAGTCACTTTAGACTTCTATTGTTTTTAAATTCAAAATCCTGGGTTTCAGTCATTTATTATCTCTATTTATCAATCAAAATACGTTTCGGTGTATTTTTCCACCATCATCAGTTTTTATGTGTAGCGTTGTTGCTGCTTTAAGCCTTGGCATGCA